TACCATCGTGTTGTCGGATCGGGCCTCACTCACCCTTAGATGATTGGCCCCGCACACTTGTTAGATGGATGCATTCCCTAGAGGGGAGAAAACTTGGCCAGAAAAAATACATTTGCGTCTCACGGCGATAGAAACAGTACACCGTAGTCTGATTTTATCCCCCCTCTCTCTCTTTCCCTTTTCTAAAAAACGATAAAAATATTTTTCCTTCCTCATTCTTTCTCTATAGCTAGTCAGTCCCGAAATGATGGACAGATAGGTGTAGCGCGCGTCCCTCTCACAATTATTTCACTTTTCTGATTCTCCCCTTTTCCCTTGGATATATCCATTGTATTCACTAGCTCTGTTTTCTATACATAGTGCGGCACGAGACAGCAGGATACCTTTCGCCCAGTAATTATGTTTGAATTTTTCTGTCTCTTTTTCACTCAGTTGATTTCTGTATAGTACTGTAGCGTTAACATATCCGGAGGTTGTGACTTTGAATCATGCGTGCTAGCTTATCTTACCGAAGGATGGAGTCTGGAATGGGGTGTTATGGACTGAATTTCAATAGCTAAATTGAATTGAATTGAATTCTCAATGGGTATGGGTGGTGGTATGCTTTTGAAGGACGTGACCTGATAGCTAGAGGTATGACAAGTAATGGTGTGGTCTCACAAAGTCTCACTCGTGGCGAGCATTAAAGCAGTAGCGCATAGCACAGCACTCTCAGGCTCAAACAAGTCGCAAGGAGTCAAGGTTTGGTAACAGCTTGGTCCTAGCGGCACATATATGACTCGTTATTGATAAAAGAACTCAAAGTACTATCGAACACCGCAGCTACAAATTCCCCATTCCCGGAATGGCGGTAGTCCAAAGCCGGACAAGGCATGCAAAAAAAAAAAAGGGGCACACGACATCAGTGAATTGTGAGAGAAGAGAGAGTGTTCACCAACACCAATAGGCAGCTAGTAGTGAGTGACCAATTCTGTTTTACTTTAGCCATTTTCATCCATTGCTTCAGGGGCAGCAAGAAATTTGGTGGTCCGGAATGCGCTTCATAACCCTTCCGAACTTGAGCCTAAGTCTACACGGATCAGCGGAACATCTGCATGTCGTTTGCAGCCGAGCTCAACCGGAGGAGTCCTCGCAGGTCTCACGATGCAGCGGAACGCCGCCCAGGTAAGCCACTGTTGATGCTGCCTGCCTGCCTGTGTACATCTGAACTGGTACGTCCCTGAGCTGGTGTATCTATCTCCATTGGGCGAATTTTGGGTAAGACACGCTTGTTATCCCCTCGACTGAGTGTGGGGACTCTGGTATATAATATGCATATGGAGAAAAGGAGTATAAAATGTTATTGCCAACAACAGTTTAGCACGAGTAGAATTGAAATTGTTCTATAACTTGGTGGATATCCTTTCTAGGACACAACTTCAAGAAGGATTCGGGAAAGGATACCCCAAGTTGGATACCGGTAAAGGATATATCGGTGGCAAGCAATAAGGGCAGCGACGCCTCCACCAAATGCCTCCGACAGTGGACCTTTTACAAGAAGAGAGATACTGTACAAGGGTTGGATAAGTAGGATTGTTTTGGGTTTTTTCTGACTTCTCTGTATTTATGGGTCTTTCACTATCTTTCGTATTGGCTATCACAATGTATTGGTTTGGCTGTGGCAAATTTGTCGAGGGTTGAATAAATCTCGGCTAACAATCTATATTTTAAAATTACGGTACTCCTCCAGCTACTGCCCAAGAGCTAAATCAAACACAGTGCCGTCGGATCTTTTCTGAGACTGGTGTTCTTTCGTGGCTGTTGACAAGGAAATTTCGTAGGATCAAAACCCTGCTCGGAAAACAAGAGAAAGATAAAAAGGAAAGCAGCACTCAAGGAACAATGGTTCTCGATAATTCCGTTCTTGGTCCTCTCCACCCTTGTGTGGTCTCTCATAACCTTCTTTATACGATAAATCTACTGCTTAACGAAGAGGTCTTCTGCTTACAGGAAAAACACACCTTTATGCAGTTTCCTCGCCTACTACTCGAGTACCCGCAGTCCACTCAGCAATCCAACATTACCGTAGTGTATCCCATCGTACCATTTACTTGGACATTAGGTTGTGACGCCCGTGTCACCCTGCACCTTTCCAAGCATCCTTGGCATTCTTGTGTTTCTTCCTGCTTAGCATGGAGAAACAAATATTTTTCTTCTTCCAGATAACCCAGGCAGTGGGCTACTGTCAAACTTCAACAGCAACAGTGATACAATACACGAGTGACGAATGATGAAGCAAAATACCAAGCAACTCGTAATGAAAATGATCGCACACTCAAGCGTGGGGAAAGTATTTTCACTAGCAACCACAACCACAGGCTCACCATGAACGATAGCTACTCTCAACTAACAAATCATCAAAAATGGGAGTATACACCAACAGTAACACCCTATCCCTCCATGAGCCACTGGGCTACTCCATCTGAGTCTCCCATTCTTCCTTCATAACTCCTAGGCCTACAAAAGAAAGAACAATCACCGCTTCTCATAACCTCCACATCTTTTTCATCAGGGTACAAAGCCCTTTTACAACCCTTTCGATTTCCTTCCGGCTGTCCTTACAGCCTCTCCGCTTCTGTTTCGATAGCCGCATTCCTGCATAGGAAATGCTTTCCCGAACGTCCAAGCACACACTCGAACCCAACGCCATATGCCCCAATCCGTAGTCCATTTCTGAAGACAAACCCATACCCGAAGCCGTGGCCATATGACTGAATCCTCAGCGTCTTTCCGAAGACAAATCCATGCCCGAAGTCGAAGTCATATGCCCCAATCCTCAAGCATTTCCGAAAGCTATAATTGCATAGTATTACACATTCCTTGCCCTCGGATACTAATCTGTATTTATTTGCATTGTTCATTAAGCCATCAGTACTAGACTACTCTGCTGTACTAGCCCACCCTCGAGAGTACATCCGGTTTCGACACAAATGCAGCGCGAGTACAATGCTCCCATGATACCACCGCTCACATTGCACCTCGCGAAAGCCATTTTACTTCCCACCCGCTTAAGCTGCGTGACCACAAACCTATTTGAACTTATCACAGCACATAGCTCACCCCTCCTTCAACCCAACTTTTGCCTCCCTCAAACATCAAAATTCCGAATCTCCCAACCCAGACCATCCAGGTAAATTCACATTAAACCCTAGTCTAACAAATCTATAGCTAAGCGGAACAGGATTTCAAACCACAATAAAAGCGTTTCCCTGCCTCGTCCTCAAGCTCCGCCCTTTCTCCGACGCTTACGCTGTGCAAACGTATCACATTGATCCCATACGCCTGCTGCTTTTAGCAGTTTTTTTGCCCGTCGAGTCGCCCTATACCGTGCCGTGCCGGGTAGGGATTTTTCAATTAATTTTCCTAGGACAGGTAGGCTAAACGTTATTGGATCGGTTGGTTTCATATCCTTTGGAACATCTTCGCCAAAGATGTCCTTCATGGTGATTTGAAATAGGCGTGGCGCCCCGGAATTAGCAGGTGGAGGGGCTAGAATTGCCGCACTAAATACTTCGGTGATGTCCTTGTGGTCCTCGTTGGCGCAATAGACATACAGTGATGCTTGTAGCTTCCCAATTAAGGGTGTTGCCAGCTCCTCGTGCTTATTCAGGTCAAGTAATTGGTTGGCGAGATCATGAAGCCTTGTCGACTCATTTATGCTTTTTATAAGTGCTCGCTCCCAGTGTTCCCAGCCGTCCCGGGCAAGATGGGTAAGGATGGCAGTGTACGCCGTCCCTCCTTCCTGAAGACCGCCGCCCTGGGCGGTGACGCCCGGGCCCGGCAGTCTTAGTCCAAATGGGATCTTCCGGCCGGCATCCGAAGGCGTCATCTACAGGGCCTGACCTTCAATCGCAGGGCCCGGCTGTCATCCGCAGGAGCTGGCGATCATCTGCAGGGCCCGGTTGTCATCTGTAGGGCACGGTCCCCACCCGCAGGGCCCCATGGTCGACTGCCGGGTTGTGGGTCCTCCATGGAGTTCCTTCGGTATTTCGCACACTATTCCCTAATTGATGGATATCTCGTAATATTAGCGGTTGTTTCACGCTGGAGATGTATTTACAAAGGAAAGGAGCAGAATGTTTTGGTTTCAACACAGAAACGATGAGTAAATAATCGTAGATTTTACGAAAGAATCTAAGTAACCTGATGTACCAGAATCATCCTATTCCAAGCTCTCCCTTTGTTATTACTCCAAGAAGCTTTCTTTTGACAAATTTGGCCCAATGGTTATCACATTACTGGCATGGTAAATAGCAAAGGATCCGTAAATCTTATTGTTGAAAACTTACCATATTCGGAATAAATCATATAAGCGAGATACCTGCGGGGCCCGGTCGGGCGTCCCGGGCAGAGCTTAGGAGGGACCCCAGGACGGGCGTCCATCCAGGGCAGGTTCCGGGAACTGGCGTCCATCCTGTCCGAAGCCAAGGACGGACGGACTGGACGCTTGGGAACACTGCTTGCTCCGCCGTCTGCTCCCTCCCAGTTCCTGTCGCGTCTTCTGATACCTCGCTGGTTGGGTCTATCTCACTGGTTGGGTCTGTCTCGCTTGTTGGGTCTGTCTCGCTGGTTGGGTCCATCTCGCTCTTTGGATGAGTTTCGGTAAAGCAGGTCACGATAACAATTTTTGTCTGTATCGGTTTTTAAATCCTCCAGTTTCTCCGCCCACCCAGCCTCGCATACCACAACCGGAAAGTCTGAGCCTTCTAATTGAACGAAGGCATCAGGGAGTTTCTCCCACACAAATCCCCTTCAAACCCATTAAAAGCTAAACATTATTAGTTAAATTCCATAAATAATTCATCCACTGGCATTACTTACAAGTGCCTGCACCTGTAGTGACTAACTTTTGAGCTTTTAATATGCCAACCTTTTCGAAAAATGTTCCAATAACAGTGTGCGTAAAGAAGTACTGCAATGAGTCTTGCGTCGGAGTAGGCATACATTTTATTATTAATTGATGTGAGAGGAAGTTGTACTCATATCGGAAGTCCTTGTGTTCAACCAGTTCCGGATTTTCACTAATCCAATTGTGTAGCTCTTTATCTGAAACATTTTGAAAATGCATGTCGCCTTCTGACGTTTCCCGGAGTTCTTCAAATCAAGATCTCGGATTGCAACGGTCGGTTCCATGGCTCTCAAGGTTCTGAGGAAACTTGGGGAGTAGGAGATCTTTATCGCAAGGGATAAAGATTGGCAGGATGGGAGAGCCTTCGGTTTTCAATTGAATCGGGGGTAGCGGTGGTTTTATAGAGGGTGCCAGCGGAGGGGATCCTATGTTTCGTTTGACCGGTCTTGATAACCTGGGAACATGTGATCGATAGAAACCCACATCACAATCCCTATAGTAGAGGGGGCTTTGAGAGTTGCCACCATGGCCACCCCCCCGCACTAATAGGTTCCCGGTAGCCTGAATTTAGATGCAGCCCATTCGACCGCATAATTGGATAGACAGAAATACCGGTAGCAACGGGAGTTACGTCTCAGACTCCGAAATGATAAAAAAAGAGAAACAGAAACGAACCGAGATGGTTAATCTAATAGGTTTCTGAAAGCCACTCACTTAAAATGTCTTGAATCGTATTGGCCCAGTTGAAGGACCGGGTGTCAACATGCGAAGGAAACTCAATCGCCAGAAGGGGAGCGAGAAAATTGGGAGGACAGCGAGGAGAATAGGGAGAGGATAGAGGCAGGTGGAGGAAGAGGGTATTATTCTATATATACGTAAGCATTTCAGGCACCAGTGCTCAGAAGCGAGGCTTGGCGAATATGAGCTGCCTCGCTGAGCGCTTACCTGGTCTACTACCTGTACAGTACCGTAGTCCTTCTGATCTCTGCCTCAATAGCTTAAAATCTTTATCTGAGGGAATTACATGAAGATCTACTCGTGCCCCCACACCCGGGCAGCATTCCACTTCAATACTACGGCAATTCCTCTCAGCTCCACAAGAATATCTGCCATCAGCAACCGATCCTGTACCCATAATTTCGCGCCCATCGCTCCGCCATTCCTAAAACAGTGTGGAAGAAAATAAAGTGAAAGCGGATTCTCATCCAAGGTATGAAAATGGCAAGGTACCACAGCACCTCCAATAAAATACATCTACTTGGTACATTATGTGGATCAAAAATCAATCACCTAATAGGTATACGGTGGGTAGAATGAAAAAAAGTTAAGGAGGCAGAGAAGCCTCCTCTACCCCCACCGGTCGAGCTCAATAAGAAGTGAACGTAGGGTGTCGCCTTAGGACAAGACTGAGGTCGTGGATATTTTCTTGAGCCGGCTGAAATTCTTTAACAAGACAATCCCACCACTCTGTCTTGCTGGTCAAGCGTGTGAAACGCCACATTCACCTGCTCGATCCGCTGCCCAGCGGGACCCGATATTCTGATCTTTTCAGGCCCTTTAACCTTGACGCAGTTATATCATCCAGGCGCTATTTGCACGGAAACTGAAGCATTTTGGAGATGAGCTTTTTGGAAGCGGGTACAGTAGAGTCCAGGGCGTAGATAGGGGCCCATGTGATGAGCTGATGGTAACTAAAATCGAACTTTATCGCCACAAGTTATGGTAAGGAAACACAATACTTGATAGGGAGAGGAAGCTCCCCCTCGTTTCGGTTCGTCAGAAGCTATAAAATATTAGTCTTTAGGCATCCCCACCGGACCCATTAACGAATAACATACGTAAATTCGATCCAAAAACTGCCGCTGATCCCCATTCGTGGATGTGCTCTCTATAGAATCCCGATAACCTCGGTTCTCTCCTGGACTAGAACAGATAGGGTCTTCCCGAACAACCACAATCCCTGTCGCTCGTTCGCCATTCTCATAATCGATTTCTTGAGCATAAACCCCGCCGCTGACGTCCTGCCCATATCCGAGGAATCGATCCTTTCTTTCCGTAAAAGAAAACCGCACTTCTTTCATCCTGCCGTATATTGTGACCCTGCAGAGTGAATTGGCCGCCATCCAGCCATCGAAGTGTGCAGGAGCAAAATCACGGGTGAAAATACCCATTTCTCCTGGGCGAGAGGCTATTGACCATTCTTTCGGTGGCGGGGCATCATCCCACACCTGCACTTTAGAATCAAGGTCGATAAAAGGAATAGGGTGGGGAAGCTTAGTTTCGTAGATTCTATCATTATTAATAAGTAGAACGAGTCCCAACTATAGGAACTTTTGATCCTCATTGTCCAATAAACAGTGCAAGCCTACGATATCTCCAGTTGTTTCTTTGCGAAAAATCGTTTGGGATGGGCCGCCAATATTAGCTATTGGAGCAAAAACCTTGTGAGTTCCGAGATAGCGTAGTCCAAAAACCTCACTTGTAGATCCACCTCCTGTGAGAAACTAGAGAAAGTCAGCATGTAATACTAGATGAGCCGGAAGTTGGCCCACCAGAGTGCCATGAACACACGCACCACTACAGCAAATGACCTCGGCGGCCACTAATTCCCAAAACCAATGCTGGCCCGGTCTTTAGCTGCTTTGACCCGAGGAGAGATGCGACTAGTCTGTCGCTGCTACGCTCTCTGTAAAGGAATTCAAACCCTGAGTGCGGCATCATCATAGTTCTATCATTCCCACGCATCTCCTCTGCCCCCTCCTCATGAAATCCATTTGCCGATATTTCCCACTCTCCCTTACACATTCACCGATCTGGGATGTGAGGTCCTTCGTGCTCGAGTAATTTAGGGTTCGTAGAGGCAAGTGGTTTGCTTAGTGGAGATGCCTTGCTCATGCCACGAGCACGCGTTCACAAGGTAGTCTGAGAGCGCTCGATCGTGGCGAATTCCCGGACTATATGGAGGTGTAGATTGGCGCATGCTGGCGGGAGAGCCTCTTCAGGGAGCGCAGGATTGTGCTGGTCTCGGGGGTGAGGGCTGAGAAAGTGTTGTTGATGTGTACGTTAGTATTGGATGAGAGGTGTTGCGTCTGTGAGGGCAGGCAGTGGTGATAGGCTCCCAAGGGCAGATATAATTACTGATCCGTCTGGGGCTCAGGCGAGGTATGCTTACCAGGGATATAACACTTCTCAGTATAGTAGGCGACCATAGACTTCCCGGGGCTCCCTCGATGGAGACAGTGCTGGAGAAGAGCCTATCATGAATTCCTCCAGCCCCTGCTCTCGCTGTGTTGTTAAAAAAGTGTGAGATAGCCTCCTCTTCAAATTCGCGACCTAAGCAAGATATGTGTCTGGTTTGTTCCAAGCCTTCGAAAGCGCCATCAGTCGATTGCTATTCAGTATGCTGCTTCTTACCCACCCCCCCTTCCGAGAAAGACTAACAAGCCCAGACTCAACCCCGCCACTGCCCAAACCCTTCAGCACCTTAACTACCACCTCCCGCCACCTCCCCCATTCTATAAATATTTCCTGAAAAAAAAAAAGAAATCTATTCTCAAGCATAGCCTAACCAACCCCAGACATCCGAAAAGGAGCCTTCTGAAAGAGTAGCCCTTGCTATGACTCCAGGGTGCTTCAAGTAACTTCCAAAATTCGCTTTCGATCATGCATACTCCCGAAGACAGCTCTTGCTAATCTCCGAAGATGAGGAGGAGGAGGAAGCCATGGGGATAGCTTCAGCTTCAGACTGTCGAAGAGAGATTTCGGCAGTGTTCGTAACGGTTTGGGAGCCCCGGCGGCCCCGCAGGGAAACTGCCAAGAAGACTGGACCGGACGGGACGACGATTTTAGCGCCGTCCTCGTCCTGGGTGGCTCTAGGACTGCAGGTTTGAGCGAGGACGACGGGCCCGACAAGGTGAGACACTATTGTGCCGTCCTAATACAAGGACGATAGGGGACGGTAGTGGACTGCAGATCCCTGCCAAGGACGGTGGGTATCTGTGGGGATCTGTGGGGATCTGTGGGTGTCTGTGGACATCGCCGGAGATTGGTGGAAATCTAGCAAATGAAATTGGAATTGAGATTATTGAACAGATTAGGGGCAAGGACGGGAGGGGACTATAGTTGACTACTATGTGAGTATATCAGAATTGCAATGGTGCGACTAGAAAAGATTTCTGTTGGCAGGATATATGAACACATTGAAATATCAATATGAACTAATGTATCCACAAGTACTCATATAGGAGTGTAGAAGAAATATATAAGTAGCTATTGCAATACTAGCCTGAGGACCTCAAAACATTTTTTGATATCATTGACAACTTCCGTACGGCCAAGTGCTCCACGACGTATTACGATTCTCTTTAATTCATTTACCTCTTAATTCAACCATAACTTCCGAACCAACTCTTCCACCTAGTGGTGCAAATTGTAACTCCAGCAGTCAGATCTCTTCCTCCCAAGACACGATATGGGATTACACAATTGAACCTCCACTTGATTCTAGCTACCTACTGCCTTTCGATATCTCAGATAACCGTAGCCAAGGGACAGAAAGTCAAAGTGCTCTAAGTAGTGCACCTAGTGGACTTCTCATTCTGAGTCTTCAAAGCCAAAATGTTGTCTATGAAAGAAGCAGTGGCGCAAGTAACCAGGTGTTCAATAAGTGACAGAGGATAAGGAAAAGCTGGGTTTACAAATCTGGAAATGGAGCAGAATTGTTAGGTAGAGACAACCCGATAAACTTCAGAGTTGTCTAGGCCAACCAAGATTTATTTCTGTAGATGGAGATTGTCTAGGAAGGCTCGAATACACTCGTTTTGTTTATGACTACTAAGAGCGAAGTAAAATTGGTAAAGTAGAATAGAATCATAAAAACAATATTATATTATTAAGGTCTCTTCTCTATTGCTTGATTATGTCTAAAGCTTAGTAGGCACTGCGATATTTATATTCTGTGTCTGAGAGTTGGCAGACTACATCTATTTATTATACAACGATATATCTCTCTAATTATAACTTGCAACATCGGGTATTCTGTAAAAGTGCGAACACCTGGAGACCCTGAAAATCACCGACTCTCTTCGGTAATTGCATTAGAGTTAACTGGAAATCATGCTATTCCCAATAGTAATTCTCCGATTTTCAGAGTCTTTAGACTTATGGCCTAGTTCTCAAGTCAAACTGAGTTGGACTCAATTGTCTCTGTCATTAATGAAATGATCAGTTTCATTTGCAGGTTGAATCTGCGGAGGTAGTCGTATTTGCAATCTTCCTAGGTTGGCTGACTTCAAACTTTCATAACTCCTTATCCAACTCATAGATTTCTTCCAGAGGACTTCCTACTAATTTGCGGGAGGCTATTCCACTAGGTTGATAGATAATCGCTCAGTAGGAAACCCTTGATTGCTCTGAGCAACAGGATTTCAATCACTATCCTACTATTGGAAATTATTCCTGCAGCTACGCATGTTTTGAAACCTGATTGTAACACTCGGGGAAGTGCATTGACTTCTAAGGTAGTGTCCCTTGGAGTTCTAGACTCTTCTGGTTATTGTAAAGTGGGTGCAAATGTATTGGTCTCTTGTTGAGATCCTTTATCATTCGATACTATCTCATTGTGCAAAAATGTCACATTACTTATGGCCCCCCCACATGCCAAAAACATCACATTTTGAAGCCTAGTATCTCTCTGAGTAGTTGACAGATTCACTCCGTTCCACTTCCCAGACCTAGCCGAAGGTCCCCTCTCAGATATTCCATGAACAGGATACAGTTAGACAGATGGCAGCGATGTATATGATATTATTCTGACACCTTCAATTTCGTGGCATTATAGTCACAGGATACAATTGAGATTGATATGTATAATGATGTGCAAACCCTGTAAGGGGGCCAGAGGGGGGTGTTGGAAACCAGAGATTCCGATTCTGAGTGGGATTACCCTACTTAGGGTGGTTTCTAGGTATTGGATTCTAGTATTCCTAACAGGAATATACTACTCTTAATGGTTGAACCTGTTGGCATTGTACTCACTATAAGTCTACTTTCAGCTACATTCTTATATCACGCTGTTTTATAATTTTTATATAATAATAGGTTTGAGTATATTATGTCCGAATAGGTGAACTGCTGTAACCATTTCCGATTTATCAACAAAGAATATGATCAAACATCTCCATAATACCTACCGGATAGACCAAGATAGTGCCATTTAACTCAAACAGGGTCAGGTCTTGTTAGAAACTGCCTTTGGCAAACCTACTCTCAAGTAGTGTTCAATCACGACATCTTCTATAATCTACTCCTAAAATAGATTATTCTGAACAATATTGGCTTTTTATAAGTTGAGTAGGATTCATTTTGAGTATTGGTAAACTATCTGCTTACTTGTATAAATTCCCTTCTCTAGTTATCACCCTTGAGTAACTAATCCAAGCATCTTAGATACTCATAATCCTATATTGTTAATGTTAAATTAACCTTTTATGCTATCACTTCTAAAATGCAAGTTTGTTAAGAATACCGGGATCCGATACCCAGAAGTCACCCTAAGTTAGGAGCGGACAGCTCATTTTCTGGGGAGGCCTTACTAAGC